TTTGGGAGATTATATAGAAAAGTAAGGAAAGATACTCTGAGACCTGCAAAAGATGGGAGATTTTCCTGATAACCTTGTGTTTTTAAAGTTTGTGTAAGAAAGAGTAAAACTTGCCCGCATCACGGCCTGTGTATCAGCATTTCCCTCGAGCTTTAGTTCATTAAAAGCTTGACGTTTATCTGCGCTCTATGGGAGAGTGACTGTAACATTGGGTTCAACAGGAAAATAGAAGTTGTGATTATATTTGTAGTGTTTATTTGAAACCAAAATCGAAGACTCCAAAAACACCCAACAACTTACTGATGCTACATTCGTTACGGACAAGACCTGTCAAATGACAATGACAAAGATAGATAGACTACAAAAAAAAAAGAAGTCAAGTTTGTACAATAACAGCATGTTTCCCTACAATGCCAAAAACAAGACAGTAGCGTTCTTATATTATGTTGAAATGCAGCACACGCCCATCCACCCCCGTCATATTCACTTAACACGACTCGTTAGGTGAATTTACTGTTTATATTTACATCCCGCAGAGGGTGATGCAAGTGACCGCATCCAATTTAGTCTTTTCCAATAATTACCTGTTCTGACAGTAATGCCTGCTGACTGCATGACAGGTTTGGAAGAGCGGCCATGTTTACGTTTGCATTGCATTTGATCACGGTCCGAGCAGCAGAGCTCTGTTTGTGTCCTGAGGGGTTTCAGACGTTACTGTTAAATCTGATGAACCATGGGAATCTTCACACATCTTTCATGTTATGTGAAACTATCGAGCAGCTGCTGGTTGTCCGGTGGAAGGCGTGAAAACTGAGCTCAGCTATGATTGTGTGAAGTGACAAGCTGTTAGTGTGAACCTCCTCTAATGTGACAGAAAGCACGTCCACACATAAACATACTGACATTCACTTAGAGAAGGAAGGTTTGTCAAGACAAACTTTGAATGTTGGCCTGACCGTTTGAAAAAACAAACCTTCACATTTGAGGGTTATAAGCAAGGGACGTTAAGTTTGACAGTTTAATTTGAGACAATTTTATTTATTTCTTCTACTACTACATTTACATTACATTTAGTCATGTAGCAGATTTAGCAGAGTAAAATTGCTATGATTTGTGTAAATTAAAAGTTTTTCTAGGCCACTTACACTACTGTTCAAATGTTTGGGGCCTGTAATTTATTAATTTTTTAAAAAGAAATTTGTACTTTTAATCAGCAAGGATGCATTACATTGATTAAAAGTGACAGCAAAGACATTTAAAATGTTACAAAAGATTTCTATTTATTTCAGTGAATTGCTGAAATTCCGTTCATCAGAGAATCCTGAAAAAAAAAAAATGTATCAGTTTCCACAAAAACATTAAACAGCTGTTTTCAACACTGATAATAATAAGAAAAAATCAGAATATTAGAATGATTTCTGAAAGATCATGTGACACTGAAGACTGGAGTAATGATGCTGAAAATTCAGCTTTGCATCACAGGAACATTTATAATATATTAAAATAGAAAGTATAGTGATATTTATAAATATTAATATAGTGATAATATATGAATAAGTTACTAATATTAGTAATACAGTAATATAAAATAGTAATAATTCACAGCATTACTGTGTTTACTGTACTTTTGCTTAAATAAATGCATCCTTGGTGAGCAGAAGAGACTTATTTCAAAAACATTAAAACTTTTACCAACCTCAAACCTTTGAATGATAATGACATTTTAATATATATTTTTTATTTGTTATTTTTTATTTAGTATTGCAAATATTTTGTGTAGACAATTTGCTAGACTATGGCAGGCTACATCATTTGAAAAGTTAGAAATAGTTTCATTTCTGTCTGTAGAACTATTTAAGTGGCAAAAATATGTTAAACCTCTAAACTTACATGATCTCAAACAAATGACACCACTGAAATGTGGAACTATTGAGGAAATTTAATTCATATAACTGTTTTATGGCATTGTAAACTCAATGGCTGAATTACAAAAAAACATTAATTAAATGAAATTCAAAATCACAAGCAAATCCTGATCTTTTTTTAATTAAAATGCATACAAAACTACATCATTAGCACACAATGAAGGAACAAAAGAGCATATTTTGGAACCAAAATTACAAACGTACAATGAGTGAAAAAGACAATTTGTTCAACAGGAGTGTGTTGTGCTTTTTAGCTCTTTCGGCATGGTTAGGCTGTGTACTTTACAAACACCACCGACTTGTGGCCTTCAGTGATATTCACTTCACTGGCAACATTTGGGTTGTGTTCCAAAAACTACTGCTGCCTACATAGGCTTATGCCTTCAAATAAGTGACTGATTTGGAACATTTCACATAGGGAGAAACCCACACAGGCATATTTACACCGCTTACTTTTTTGGAACAGATTCTGTGCTGCGTACGTAGGGAGCTCACTACACTCTTAAAAATAAAGGTTCTACAATGGTGTTTTCGCAGCAATGCAAAGAAAAAAATAATAATTTTTGGTTCCCTGAAGAAATTTTTAGTGAGCACTTCTTAAAGGGGTGGTTGATCAGCTTTTTTCAAAAGCTTGATTGTGTTTATGGGGTGCAGTGTAACGTGCTCATGCTTAGTTTTTAAAAAACGCATTATTTTCACATATTTTACCTTTATTCTACACCGCTGTTTCCATTATCGTCAAAACAGTCTGTTGAGTTCCTGGTTTTATGAAGCCCCTCCCTCAGAAATACGCAAAAGGCTCTGATTGGTTACCGGGCTCAGTGTGTTTGTGATTCACTAACCGCCTAGTGCACGTTGTCCGGAAACGTCACGCCCCCTTACCATTACGGGTAGTTGCGTGTTCCCGGGGGCGGGGTTTATGTAAACATCTGGGTTAGTGATGTCACAAACCCAGGAAGAAGCTCGTTGTAGTCCCTACCAGCTGTTTTTTGTAGTCCTTAAAGAGCAATTTCTTTAAAAGAAAATATCTCCCTTTGCATTGAACTCTGAGCGTCGTAACTTTGCAGATGTTGTTTATGCTCTAACAGCAACATTACACACTAACTAAAGTTGAAAAAGAGAAATCATAATCAACCACCCCTTTAAAAGAACCATTTTTTTCCTACTTGTCAAGACCATTTTAATAATCTAAAGAATGTTTTCCTCTTTGGAATGTTTCTATGGATGTTAAAGATTCGTCATGGAACCTTCAATGCCAATAAATAACCTTTATTTTCAAAAGTTAGGTTTTGGAACAGAACCTTGATGTCAATAGAATGTTCGACGCAACACACAATCAGTATTGATACAGTGGAAATAAATAGGTATGTTTTTGGTCTTGTTTTGGGTCAGCAAATCTTAATTTAGCTTGATTTGGATTCTTGACGCATCTCAATCATAATCAACAGTCACAACGAACTCTTTGGAGAAAATACAGCTGTTACACTGACAGAATTTGATATCCACACACATTAACAGATCCAGACCGAGGCACTGAGAGAGAATCATCATACGACACAGAAGCAAAAAGTTTACCCAGGGTTTCTATTACCCAGAAGTCCTTGCAGGAGAGAACCGACTCCTGCTTGTAACTAGACCAGCTCACATTTTGAATCCATCTTTCCTGTAGCCTGCAGCTTGGGGCGATAATCAAGCAGAGGCACAATGGGAAGGAAAATAACCGCCCACATAAACGCATCAAAGCGGCCATGAATCAAGCTGAACACGGCCACTTCTGCTTGGATAACAAGGCCTGAAGGATGACCAATGATTGCGAAAGGAGATACATCTCTATTCATCCATCTTTCTAGCTGTTTCCTTTGCTCTTTTGGGGCTCTCGGCCCTCAGGTGATGGCAGCAGGTGTGAGCATGGGAAAAACCTCTGGGTTATGTGCTGAAATATTCACTTACACCTGTTACGCGGATGTATGTGTGTGTGTGTGTGTGTCATGGCCACTTTACCCTCCTTGTATGAGCTTGTGCATGGTTTTGTTATTCAAATAATCACGGGCGATCTCCTTTCAAACGTGCCCAATTATTGTCTCCGATTTCAGTCATTCCAAGAACAAGGTAGGAAAAATAGACACATAATGTAGGTGCTTAGAGCAACATATTTTTCACACTTTAGAGACGTGGAATGACAACAGGTGATTGTTGGACTCTTTGGCTTGAGATGGTTGAGGCCTTTCAGGCACATGACTAAATATCACGTGGAATTCAATCTGGTAAGAATGTCTCCATTATGTGGTTTAACAAGTACATATAACCTCTTAAATAAATGTTTTAGTGCATTAAAGCTGCATTGGAAAACATAGGCATTACATTAAAACTTTTGTATAATTTAGAAAGAATATATTACAGTAGCACAACTTCCAATTTTATACTAAAACAAAGAAATCAAAAGATTGAAAAAAAAAAAAACACGAAATGTTTGTGACCTGGAAACGATCCAAAATAGGAGCGCATCCTCTATGGCTCGAAAAAAAAAATACACAAACCATAAAACTGAGCTCAAATCAATAGTCTGAAGAAAGTCATAAAAAGCGATCAACACTGAGAAAAAAAAAAATTACTCTTAAAAACTATTCCAAAAAAGACAAGTCTTCACAAGTTCAAAGACGAATAAATTGTTCGTGATTTTGGCATGAAGCAAGAAAAAAAATCAAAAATCAAACACCTGTCTGTCTTTGGGTTATAGACACTGTTTTACTTTTCTACAAGTCGAGAACCCGCAGCTAAAGGGTGAATCTCACGAAAGCACATCCAGATCACATTTCACCCTAAAATCAAAGCAAAAAATATTTTTGCATAATGAAAACGATGCCTATGTTTATGTAAATTCAGATTATTTGCAAATGAAATAAATATATCATTCGTTTTCTTTTACATTACAGTAATGAGAACAATATTTTGCATTACAATAATAAGAACGTAAGGGTCAAATGTGCTTAATTTTGATTAAAACAATGTCACAATGCAAATGCAAAAATGAATGGTTCTAAAAAATAAAACTGAGCATAATTTTCTTCATGCAAAATATAATTTCTCATTTCTCATTAAATATGACCTGAATATGTTCCTGACAGGTTTTGTGATATTCACCCTAAAATCCGTTTCAATGAAAAACCCATTGACATAACATCTCACAAAGCTCCACACTTGTATTATATGATCACATCTCACCATTTCAAGACTATTTCAGCAAGTTTGGAAAGTACCTGAAACACTTGGGTAGCATCTTTGTTTATCATCATATTTACAGTCCCACAGTCCTGCAGCTCTGTGAATCTCTTTCATACTGTCTGCAAGACACGTTTTCGTGGATGCAAAGCACTCTGGGAATTACAGCGTTCAGACAGATTGGTTTGTAAGGCTGGATAAATTGGCTTTTTTCAGATACAGGCTCATCAGAATATGTCTTTTCTTTGGTTTTTCAGTTTTTTTAGTAAGAAAAGTTGCTGATATATTACTATGGGATGCCTTTTCTTAATTATAATCTTTCTATGTACACCTCATTTTCCTGTGATACTTCTGTCCTCCTTTAGTTTTGATCAGCGGAGGCCATTTCTGTTCTGTATGGAGCGCCCAGACTCATTTCTGGTCATCGGTTCACTTTGGTGGTCTTTGAAGCAATTGACATGTCATAGAAGGATGAAGAAACAAAAACGATCAAACATGCAAGACTTTTCACCTCTACTCTAAACTTTGACTTCTTCTCTCAGTCTTTCTGCACACGTTTTCTCAGTAAGGCCTCCAGACGGACTCGTCTATGCGTGTGGACGCACTCATCGCTGTGGGCGAGTTGCTGTGGCTGCCGTCGGCATCCACGCCGTCGCTCTGGTTGCCAAGGCTGGCGTTGAGCAGGCTGTTGTTTCCGCCCCCGGTGCCTCCGGCTCCGCCCGCCGCGGTACAGGACGTCAGCATGCGGGTGGGCGACCTGTCGCCTCCTGATCCGGTGCCACCGGTCGGAACCATGGAGAACTGGTAGGAGCCGGATCCGGTGCCGTAGTACAGGTGGTACGGCGAGGAGTTGGTCTGGAAGTGGGAGTTCTGGTTCTGGTTGCCGGGGTATGGAGGTGGCAGGTAGGTGTGGTAGCGGCTGGAGGTGGGCATCCCGGCCACGCTGAGACCGCCGATTCCAGTGCTGGACGGGTTGGCAGAGTAAGTGAAGGGACCCGGATAATGCATGTGTGAATCTGAGAATCGAGGCGCCGTTAATGGAGACAGAGATGGGAAGGACGTCCTCTGAGGGAACAGATCCGTACCTGGACGAGAAAGATGACGAAAGTGTCATTTTAACATTTAAACAACAAAAATATTACAGAATGCAAGATTCCATGCTTTTTCCATGATTACTAAATGTTTACATTTTTAAAGTGCCCCTATTATGGATTTTTGAAAATGACCTTTCATGCAGTGTGTAACACAGCTCTAAGTGAATGAAAACATCCAGCAAAGTTTTAAATCTGAAAGTGCACCGTGTATGAAGTTATTGTCTCTCAAAAGAAAGAGTCGACTCTGAATCATTGAAACGAGTCGTTTTTAAAACGAATCCCAAGCCGTTTCATGTTGACGTCAACATGAAACATTAGCATATTGCCCGCCCACTTGTTGGTCTTGTTGCTCTGAATGAAAATAAATATGAACCTTTCATTACCCATAATAGGGGCACTTTAATAATTTTTAAATATTCAGACTAAGACTGAATTAAGAAATAAAATATAGATTATTTACAAAATAAAATATATAATATATATTTTTTAACTTAATAAATAAATTAATTCAATAATAATAAAAAATAATAAATGTTTGTGATTGCCTGTCTGTCTATGGATTATAGACAGGTTTTACAAGTTTTTACAAATCACATTTCAGCAAAAAATAAAAAAAAAACAATTTTTTTGCATAAAAAGTAACAAATTTAATAAATTGTTAATTAAAATAAAAAGTTCTAAATGTTTATGATCGTGTGTTTGGATTATAGACATAGTTTTACATTTTAACAAATCACAATTCGCCCTAAAATCAAAACTAGTTTTTTTTTTGCACAAAAATGATGCCTATGATTTTGTACATTTAAATGATTTGCAATTGAAATAATATATTATTTTTTCACAATAATGAGAACAAGACTTATAGTATTAAGAATTTGAACAATATATATATATATATATATATATACACACAACAAAATGAGTAATATGTACACCAGATTCTACATATTTTGGCCAAAAAATGTTCATGTTTTCCCATGATTACTAAAT